GCAGCCTTCTCTTCTCCAGGCTGAACAAGCCTGACTCCCTCAGCCTGTCCTCATAGGAGAGGTGCTCCAGCCCTCGGATCATTTTTGTGGCCCTCCTCTGGACCCACTCCAACACTTCCATGTCCTTCTTGTGTTGAGGGCTCCAGAGCTGGACACAGTACTCCAGGTGAGGCCTCACCAGAGCAGAGCATCAAAAGTGTTCTTTATTATCTTCCACTATAAAATGGTAAACTGATGTGACCTATCATGGACCTTTTAAGTAAAATTTATTGTATAATTCTTTAATCATAATTAATTCAGGTCGTGCCGAACAAAAATGAAGCTTCAGTGTGTCGATCACAGCATAACAATTATTAAAGACTTGCTTTCAGGATGCAAGAAGATTCTAATACTAGGAACCATCTTACATTAAGCTGTGCTTTCCTCATAGAAAGGGGAGAGCAGATTCTGCATGTACAAAGTGGAATTCATCTCACTTAGGTACATGAAAGTTAAGATTTCAGTATAAATCCACCATCAAATTTCCTCCTTGTCATGGGAGGAGAGAGGACCTACAAGGAGAAAGTCACCACAGCCTAAACTGTTTGTGATTGTTGGGGTGAATCCGCAAATGAATCAATTTCTCTCTTTCATTAGCTGCAAGAGACCTATGTGGCCACCTTCAACTAAATAGGTAATTTTCAGGTAGCTAAATACAGGTGAGAGTAATCCAATCAGATTCTGGTTTATTATCTGAGAGAAATGTAACAGGAATGGTTCAGACAGCAGTAGATTTAATGAAGATAACTATACATGGGACCTACATATTATGACTTTGTAGCTTAGTTTAGATGCTGACTATTCCATTTGCTGTTCAGTTTATTACTATCATTTCTAAGGAAATCCATGAAGTCATTTCAATACTAAGGAAGATGTAATCCCATTTTTAACTCCTCATCTTGAAAAAATGTTGGTCAACGACAGTGATTTTTTTTCCTGAGATGTAATACTAAAAATAACATTATTCAGCAACAAGACCTGCTTTTACATGGTCATTTTAATGAAGAGTCAAGCTTCTTATATTTACTGATTCCTTGGCTTTGACAGCTTGCAGTTTTGTAAAGAAAGCAAAAGAACTGTCATTTTTTAATAACCTATCAATGAATGATGTCTCTAATAGATAGGTGTTTATCCAATTTAGAAGTTTGACTTGGAAAACAATTTCAGCAGCAATTTATTCAAAACTAGTAGACAACTTCATTTTTTCAAAAGTTTATTGCTGTTGCTGTAAACAGACTTTAAAACCTTCAGCTCTGGCTTGAATCCTGTTTCTTTGAATTGATCACTGAAAGGTTCTATTTTCTACCTCTGATTTTAAAGCCTTGGTGACAAGGAGAACATGCAGATCTATCTTCTTTTACAAAGTCACTTGTTGCACCGAAACAGATCAGAATTTAAGCTTAAAAATGGTCAAAGTACTTTTCCAATCTCTTTTGTTTTTTTTTTTTGTTTTGATTGCTAGTTTTATGCCTTCTACTCTTTGCTTCTTTTAATGATAACCCGAAAAACATTCTAATCACCTTACAGACCTCACACCAAGGCTTGATTGTGTCAGCACAAGCTGATTGTTGTGTGTCAGATATACACTTCATTAATTATTCAGGCCCAAGGGAAGAAATGTAATACACTCCAGCAAGGTATAGGCAAAACAAAAACATGTATTTATGTTGCACAAAGTCAAAATAAATGCTGGAAGTGGCACTTCTGATATTCACTAACTCTAAGAGATGTCCAGCATAAAACCATACATATCAAACACATAATTCTCTGCCCTCCTGGAAATTTATTGTTCTTCTTAAATATGCACCATACAGCTTTACAACCAGTCACGCCAATCAAATAAAGTGATCCCCTTACTTTTTAGAATTTCATCTGTATGTCTACAAGATGCTAATTTTTACTTTATTAATTTCAGCAAACATTCTGTTGGGACTAGATCACTTAAATATAATATTTTTAGCAGATTAATATAGTGTTTCTGAAATATCATTGACATTAAAAGAATATTTTGTCTCTGTTGAGAAAAAACCCACAGGTGAAAATCTTCTCTCCCTTCACCATGACAAATTCTTTGTAGACTTTCACAGAAAAATAAAATGGAATTCCATTCTCAACATGCCTGTATTTCTTGATGTACTGTCCCCAAGGAACTAATCAAACTGAGTAACTCAAAAATACCTAGATAATGGCTAGAAATTTCACAGCCAAGACATTTTTGTGAACCCCTTGCTAGCATTATTGTTTAATGCTTTACTAATTTTAAGTCAGTATGACCAACTGAACCAATTTTAAGTCAACATGACCATGAAATTTTTATGTTAGGAAAGGGATTAAAAACTTGAGATTATATTCATGATCCAAAATGTTATTGATTATCTTGTCCCAGTAATTCAAATAATTTATACAGAATAAAAAACCTGCAGGTGAAAATAAATGGCACCCAAAGCAATACATTAATCCTTAGCTTGAAAATATATACAACTTAATAATTTATAAATTTGATATCAAAGTATTTATGCTAGAAAGCCACATGTGTGAAATAGCTTAGTCATTTTTTCACCAATTTATTGGGGAAATTATGTTTTATTATCTTAATTTTCAGAGGTGGAAGAGCTTTTACTTATGTATGAATTAAATTACTGTTAATCAAATGTCATAAAGGTGTATCTGTTAGAGAATACAAATGTTTGTGGGCTGGAATATTCTTGTACTTCTTAGTATCATTTATCTTTGCATCTGCAAGCGGCACATAATCTGCAATTGTCTTTTATGTCAGAAGGATTGCTTCTAGTATTATGCTAGCAGATGATATAACTAATTTATCCAGTTTTAGTGTAGAAAATGAATCAAATTTTTTACTTTTGAGATCTGTTCTTCTCTTCATTTATTTTTTTATTTTAATGCTGTACTTGCATAAACACATTCCAGAATACATAAGACCCAGAAGTCACACAACACAACTATCACTTGCAATGCAAAGAATGCAACAGAACACTGATTTATAAACAGCCTCCTATTGACAGCATAAACCCTCTCAAGAGCACATTTGAACATATAGTCTAATCTGCAGCAAGTCAGATAATTGTGGTTGATGACTGACTGGCTGCCGTGATGGCATCCTCAGTTGACCAGAGCTCTCAGGTAGGAATGCTGTTTGTCATGACTCCCCAGAGTAAGACCAAAGTGCTTCTAAACTTCTAAGAAACAAACCCCTACATTATGTCAAGATGCTACCCAGAAAAAAAAAATAATTTCTTCAGTGGAGAAACCAAAAATGACTAAGTGACAGAACAGGAAAAAAAAAAAGGCTTTAAGAGACAGCCCTCCTGCTGCCTACTGCATCCTTGCAGTGAAGTCCTTGCCTACAGCTTCAGTGTCTGCCATCTCAGCGCTTTCCCAGAATCCACTAAGATACATGAAACTTTTAGGCAGACCCAGGCAGGGTCTGTGCTCCCTGCATCTCTCAGCAGTCACTCCCAGATTCTCATCAAGATCTTCTGTGCCTCATCTGTTACCTACCACGCTGCACAGTGGGGAGTGATGTCCCAGCCAAGATGCTCAGTTGCTGAGCCACTTGCTCTCTTTTGAAAATGGTGTAACACAATGGCATAAAACATCCTGGGAAAACACGAGACATCTGTCACAAAAGCATTTAATAATCCTGTGTTTTCAAGGGGATGGTCTTTAAGCATGCTGCTGGGGCACATGAATCTGCCCACTTGGATTTTGGCAAGTATGTATTTGTGCTATGGTCTTCTCTTAGTTCTGCACCCATAAATTTCTTTCATGTGCAAAGGCCCAGAGAACAACACATGCTTTGTTTAAGCACTTGTTAATAACCTTGTTATCTCTGTGTCTCAGATCTGAGCCATAACTACCTATCGAAGAAATCTAATGGCTTTTAATTATATTTACTTGCTGGAAGTAAGGAGAGACAAATATTACAGGGATACCTACTTGATACCAACAACCTGCATTTGTAGCATAGGACACATGTTCCATGTCATTTGAGAACTTCTAATACCAGTGGTATTTAGGTATCAGGGTATATAAGGGCCAAACAGTTTATCAGTCACCACATTCCATTTAGCAATGATAATATAATATTGCTTTTACAATTTATTTTTCAAAATTTCAGCATGTGACTGTATATATAAATAAAAGCATATATGAGACAGTGGAAGATCATTCTGAAAGAAAAGGTCAAAACATATTTTGGCTCTGCGGGATTTTTCTCTGTGAAATTTGCAAAAAAATAAAGGTATTGGTGCCATGTGTTGCAGCCCTTGCTTGTAAGAAACTCTAACTTAATTTGATCCAAATGGATTTTTGACAGTGGGTTTAAACATTAAAGTTATAAAGAATACACAGCCCATATGAAAGCTGAGGTCAGAATTATTTCAACCTTTCAGGCACAAATGGATTATATTAAAAGTTCACACTAAGTTTATTCAGACTATCCACATTTAATCCACCTTTTTTCTCAACTTTCTGTCACC